GCTACACATGGCTGCATGGCTGTTTTGTTTCCTCTCTTTCCCCTCCTTCCTTCAAGTGAAAGGTGTTCTCTCATATGTTGCTTTGGTACATAAACCAAACGTTTGAAAGACTTTATCAACTCATGACAACCCAGTGAAAGAGATACCACAAACAGGTTTACCCAGGGTTGTTGCTGGTGTTGTGAAAGGGAGTTCGGTGCACTTTCTTAATAGAAAGTTGTTACTTTGTAACATGGTGTTATTTTGAGCAGGCCTTTGATTATCTTGGTGCTTTAAGGTACACCCTAGTCTTATTGAGTCCTCTCACTATTTACCTGTTTGTCCACTGTAGCTATTGCCCACATAGGCTGGTGGGCAAAGCCAAGGGCTTGGCAAAATCAGCTAAGTCTAGGTTGTTTCCTTGTCTCCTTGCATCACACCCTCTAAGAGTACATCCCAGTTTGATTAAAAAGGCCAGAAAGTCCCAGATTTTGTTCCTGTTCTTTCCTTATTTTGGACATCTGTATATGTTTTTTTTTAATCTGAGAATATTTTCTGTTAGTTCCTGGCACTTAGTATATATGATACACAGGTTGATTTATTGTAGGTAAAAGTAAAGGTAAAGTTTTCCCCATTGACAAGTTGTGAAGTCATATCCGGCCATAGAGGATTGTGCTTATCTCTGTTAATAAGTCAAAGAGCCAGCGGTTTCAGAGACTACTCTGTGATCATGTGGCCAGCATGATTGCACAGAATGCTGTTTATCTTCCCACCAAAGTGATATCTATTTATCTGCTTGCATTTGCATGCTTTCGAACTGCTAGGTTGGCAGAAACTGGGCTAGTGACAGGAGCTCACCCCATCATGCAGTACCTAGGCCTTGAACCTAGGCCTTGAACAGAGCTCACAGCTGATCTTGCAATCAACAGAGTCAGCATCTTAACCACTTGAACCTTTGCATCCCTTGTAACCCAGTATAAAATCATAAAGAATGGGGACAAAATGTGGGGCTTCTCAGGGCCTTTGCAGACTGCCAGAAATAGTGCACTTTAAATTGAGGCACTGACCTGGTTCAGTGCTAGGGAATCATGGGAATTGCATTTTTTTTTCTGAGACATTGAGCCTTCTCTGTCAGAGAGCTCTGGTGCCACAATAAAATACAGTTCCCATGATTCCCTAGCACTGAGCTGGGGCAGTGCCTCAATTTAAAGTGCACTATTTCTGGCAGTCTGCAAAGGCCCTCAATCAGTCTGGACATACTGTAAGTCAGGAGCGAGCAGAACATAGATCTTGAGATGTTTGGGACAACAGCTCCATCATCTCCTCCCAGAATGGCCAAAGGTTCAAGAATCATTGAAGCCCAAAGTAAAGATTTACTTGCTGTTCATTCCTGCTTCCTGTATAGTAAAGCACTGTATTCTAGTTCACTGAATGGAAGAAAAATTTCTTACCTCAGTCTTCAAGACCTGTGTGTAGTCACAATTGGTTCTGTGATATTTAAAAAGAAAAACCTACTATATATATTCATGTACAAGTCTAGAAATGTTAGTGAAAAATTTGACCCATAAAACCTGGCCTGACATATACATTGGTATTGTACTTTAACTCTTTTCAAGAAAGGAGCCATATCCTTCTCTGAGCAGAGTGGCAAAAGGCACGAGCTTAATCCATCCCAGGAGAACTACCAACCCCCTCTACTCTCTCTGCCATGGGGCTGTTTCTGCCCTTTTTGAATGCTTGGGCAGGAAAATGGCAGTGGTGGCAGCTGTTTGACACTTCAACTCAAATTCAACTGCAAAACAGAAGCATTTCTTAAGTGCAGTGGAAGCAAGGTTCTTAGCAAGGTCAGCTAATGTGAAAGCAAAAGAAATTGTGCTTTTGGTATATGTGCTTCATTATTAATATTATTATTGAATGTTTAAAAAAATCTTCATATAACCAACTTAATAATACTTGGCCCAGGGAAAAATCCAGAAATACAGGCTTCTGAGGAATGATCATATATGATCTGAAATAAAGATAGGGAATAAACAGGTTCTGGAAGTTTTTGACTACAACTCCCAACATATGTCACTACTGATAAGGCTGGCTAAGGCTGCTAGGAATTGAAATTGAACACCCTATGAAATACCATACATTTCCCCACCAGTGGCCTGAAGTATAATTTATTATGAAGCACAAGAGTCAGGTGTCTCCGCAGAATGAGTTCAATATGATAGTTGAGGTTGCTCATGAAGTTCCCACCACATATGCTGGGATGAATTCAGGTATTAGTTCATACCATATACTAATTTGTGCTTTGATTCTAGGGAGGGGGATGTCAAATATTTAATGTCCTAAGCACCTATGCACATGATACAATAAGAGTTCACACCTATGTTTCAACACATAAGGGACTTTTCAGTGGCTGCCCCTAGTCTCTGGAACTCCCTTCCCCTTGAGTCACAGTTTTGAGGGAAAGCCATTGTATAAATGAAAGGAAGGAAACAGAGACAGAGAACAAATAGGAGATGTATGGCACAGTGGTTAAAAACCATAACTTGCCTCCTGTGTTTGTGAGAACAAAGTGGTGTGTGTGAATAATGGGGCGAGAATCATATATAACACCTCGAGCTCCTCAAGAGGAAAGGATAAATATGAATGTACTGATAAATAAATGAAGGTTATGCCCTAAGAAGAGTGGCTTACAAAGTTGGATATGCTTAGCCAGATGAAGAGAAGGTAAAAGTTGTACTTTTCTATATCTCTAGTTTATTTCAATGGAGCCTGCACAAGAGGACATTCTAGTGAGATATACCAATAGTTAGTTTAAACTAGCCTTTCCCCAATCCCAAAAAGAAAGATACAAACCAGGGGAAGTGATATAGACAAAATTGACTCCATTCATTTTTATCTCATAAACCCTTCCATTTATAACTTTCATTATCTCCTTCATTTTATCTGTATTAATGAAGCATGTAAGGAATCATTTTCAACTATGTGATTTTCAAAGAGCATTGGAATTATTTTTTGAAAAAAAATATAAAAAATATAATAAGTATTGAAAAATATAGCATAACATGTTGGTTTGGTTTTTGGCCTTAAATCTTAGTGGTAGCTCAAACACAAACAGATTCATATCAGTGTGATGTATATATGTGTGGACTCACCATTCAGTTTTCAATGGAGGTACTCTAGTTGAGATTACTGACTTGATTCAAGCTCATATCATGTGCCAAGTGAATTGATGAGAGCTGTTATTGAGCAGTCTCACCCTTCCTTGTACACTGAAGGTCTCCTTTAACAAAACAGTGAAGTCTATTTAAAGCTGGTTATTTACTCTGAACTGACATACTGAAAAAGGTCACATGGATCTTTAGAAAGATTTATGCATGAATCAATGTACAGTCAAATTGATCCTGCCCCAACTTAATGTTTTGTCAATAACTGCTAGTGTAATTCATATGCCGCCCACTAGTACCCTTTGTGACAGCTTCAAATAATGCTACTTATTCATTGGATGGTTTGCAATGAAAAAGGATGCAAAAATGAAAGCAGAAAGTTTGTTCCGACACAGAAAACTGAGGAAAGAGAAGGCAGATGGCTCCAGGTATGAAAAACAAATTTTGCAAAGGATACAGACCAGATGTAGATAGTTCTCAGCCAAAACAAGCAAAAGCAGCTGTTTTAAATATTTTCTTCCTAAAACTGTCTTTGCTGCTTTGCCACACTAACCTAGTTCTCACAACAGCAGGGTAACCCATGCTCTATGATGAGTGGCTGACAGAGCTGGATACACTTAGCCTGGAGAAGAAAAGGTGAAAAGATGACATGATCACCATGTTTTAATATTTGAAGAGATGTCATATTGAGGATGGATAAAACCTGTCTTCTGCTGCTCCAGAGACCAGAACATGGAGCAATGGATGTAAACTACAGGGAAAAAGATTCCTAAACATTAGGAAGAAATTTTTGATGGTAAGAGCTGTACAACAGTGGAATATGCTGCCTCAGAATGTGGTGGAGTCTCCTTCTTTGGAGGTTTTTAAAGAGAGGTTGGATAGCCATCTGTTGGGGATGCTTTGATTGCATCTTCCTGCATGGCAAGGGGTTGGACTGGAAGGCCCTTGTGGTCTCTTTCAACTCTATGATGCTAAACTTGCTCCTGGATTGCATCACTTCAGAGTAGAGCAGTGCGTCCATATGATTTATTTGTTTTTTATTTACGTTTTTATCCCACCTTTCCTCCAACATACTCCAGGCAGCATATGCAGATTCCCTCTGCACTCTATCAGAATAAGAAAGCATGTTGTGTGTCTTTAAGTCATGTCTGACTTATGGCAACCCTAAAGCAAACCTATCATGGGCTTTTCTTGGAAAGATTTGCTCAGAGGTGGTTTGCCATTGCTTTCCCCTAAGGCTGAATGTGTGTGACTACTGAAGACCTCCCAATGGATTTCAGGCAAGGAACACTCAGATCTATGTTTGAATACCAAAAATAGAAATAATAAGAAATGTGGAGGCTGGGGAAAGGGGGGGGGTGTTATGTGTATGTGTATGTATGCATGCCTTCAAGTTGGCTGTTGAAATATGGTGACCCCATGAATGTCATAGGGTTTTCTTAAGCATGGAATACTAAGATCTGTGTTTGGACACCAAAACAAAAATAATAAGAAATGTGGAGGCTGGTGAAGGGAAAAAGTCATACCTGGATTCATTTTGGAAAAAGCCTTCAGGTGGTCATTAGACTGAAAATGTTTTTTCTTTACTTACACAAGGTTTCCCAGATGTAATGTGGAAATGTGAAATTGCAGACAATAGTGGAACCTGTTGAAAGGAATTACTGTTGGTAGACTATAGAGTTGTGCTGGAGAACTTAGAAATGCTCTCTAGGCATTTTTATGACCTCCAGTACAACTGGGGGGGGCGTTAAACAGAGGCTGGGTGGCCATCTCTAGGGGATATTTTAATTGTGAGTTCCTGCATGGTGTTGGACTGGATGGCCCTTGTGCTCTCGTCCAACTCTATGATTCTATGATTTACAGCAGAGCTTGGAATTGAACCCTGGTCTCAAGACTTGTAGTCAAGCACTCAAACCACTATGCCACACTGACTCTCAAGAACGAATGTATGACTGGTCAAAGGTGATTAATGGAGTTTAATGGCTCAGTGAACACTTGAACCTGGGTCTTGTAAATCCCAGTCTAATAATCAAAACAATTGCACCACGATGGCTTTCATACAGACTGAATGCATTCTGTAGAAACTGGAAAGCAGTGGGTTATGGAGAGTTCTCCCTAGTTTTTACCCAAATCCTGTTTAACCATTTGAGGAACCATTTGAGAGGAAGAGTTGTGATTTTCATGAAAGTCACTTTGGTGGAAGAAACCTCAGCAAATCAAAGTCAACTTGAGGGGCTCAGTCACAAGTGAGCCTCATCTGACTTCTTCAGCACTTATCTTGCCTCAGTCTCTGAAAGAGTAAAACCGACAGAAGCTCTGAATCATCAAAGGACAGGATGGCCACACAAAAAAGAGGGCAGGACCGGTGCACCTTTAATAGTTGTGTAGGAAAGAGAACTTCATGGCTGAAATGCCCTCTTCAACTGAACTATTAAAGATAGAGGGGGCATTTCATG